GATTTGCGGGTTCCTACAATAACAGAAAACCCAATATTAGATGCGTATAGTCATAATTGAAAACAATTAATTCAAAATCAAATCAACTAAAAAAAGAAGATATGCAAGAACGATGATACTTACCGTGTCCTCAGAGTTTAGTAATTCCAGGAATCCTCCGTGAACAACATCCCTCCGCTTCCCTCGCACCCCACCATAGCGGTCACGAGACCCGTGGAACCATTCTATGATGGTGTTGCGGACAAATTTTTCATCAACTGTGCGCAAGTCCGGATGTTGTCGGACGGCCTCTGAACTTCGTGACAGAAATGTAAACCTACCGTAAAATACAGCCTATAAGGGACTCCCAATGAAGGACATTTTGTTCTTAGCAGCCCTTGAATAAGTAAATTGCAAGATAAGGGGTGGCCCTAAAATCCGCGACAGAATGCTTCTTATAATGTCCTTCTCATCCCGTCCACCAATCTTGATTAAGCCATCGACCTATAAGTAAGCAGTTAGAAATGAATTTGAACACAAGCGTACCGTTTGTTGCAGATAATCTTTTTCTGACTTGAAGCCTTGCAGGAAATGAGCCAGGCTGTCTTCTGAGCACAGTGGCAAACTCCCCACAGCGTCCATCGGGCATGCGGGGATTGAACGGTGGCTTTCAAGGACAGCAGCACCAAGTTTCTCAACTTTGGCGAGCAGCACACTGTGCTCCGCAGCAATATGGTCGACGCGTTTAACAAGCAATTCGTTGCTTTGTCGAACGGTAGCCTCTAGGGCTTCAAAACGGGCTGTATGCACAAAGGGGGCTGCGTTACAGAGGGTAAGCCAGAAAAAAACTAAGTGGATAGCAGTGTACAGAAGGAATTGGGTAAAACGTCAAATACAAATGCCGTTGCATGGCTTATATAAAAGATCAGATCATAGACTCTTTAAAACATTAAAATACTCCGCATATAGGCTAATCTATGAGTTCGAGATTCTTTAACAATCCAAATATTTATGGTTTTTAAATAACGCAACAAGTAGTGTTTTGTTCGGTTTGTATATATCCACTTGGATTTATTATGTTAATACTGGATTATAGAGTAAAATAATATCAGAGAAGTAAACGTTGTGGGTACGTATCCTGTGTTCAATCAAATTAAATATGTGAGGATGGCCACTAATACTGAAATACCAGAACACGATGACTGGATGTGTAGAAGCGGATCCTCGTACTTTACATCGAATACTTTCCCTCAAATCTTTGAATTTGTGCTATTGCAATTATTATTACCAATAGTCGTGGTAATGTGGGAGAGACGCACGGCTAGTTGCCATGATTGCGTTTAACGTTCAATGAGTTCGAAGTTATTTGTTCTGAGCGGCTGTACTTACCGGCTTTCGTCATTCTACTGAAAAGTTGTGCTTTACGTTGTACATTCTACCGAAAGTGTAAATAATATTATGTTCTACCTTTACACGTATTTGGTCCTCTTATAAAAGGTTTTTAATAAATGTTAATTTTAGTATGTTGTCACTCATTTTTTTGTGCCATTCACGTTTATTCTATCTTTTTAGCGACTAGAAGGTGAATTGACTTCCAGTACCTTTTAAATCTCATATTACTCCTTCTTCTTAAGTTATAAATGGATGAAGAGAATTCTGATTACTCGATTATCGTCTGTGTGAAACAACTGCTTCATCTGGTGAGTACAAAATCCTTTGGCTTTACAAAATGGACAGCCCCGTGAGCATTCTAACAAGAAGATATGGCTCAAAGCTCATTTTGCGGATCAGACTTGCGATGAGTCGCCTAAGCTTAGCATGGAAGACGATGGCACTATTAACTTTAATCACCGGTTTAAATTCACATTTGAAGAGATAAATTTGGCATCTCTCAACGAATTCGGCAATCGACCATTCGTCAGTAAGCAATTGAATAATCAAATACTGTCCTAGTAAGCATTTTTGAGGCTCCTAGCGTGCCCAAGAAGAGTGACTTAAAGAAGCCTCGTGTTGGGATTGCCGCCTTCGACATTCTGCCACTTATTCGAGGTGAGGTGTGTTACTGGCTTTAACAACCTTACTAGGTGAACTCGCGTTTGATCTGCAGGTGCCCGTTCATCTCTCTAGTCACACAACATCCGCAACTGATGCAAAGAAAGTAGGTTGTTTTCTCTAATTCACAGTTGAAAGCCTCATATGTCCCTCTCTGTATCTACACGTAGCCCCATTAACCAAAGCTTTTCGGAAAGTCCCTTTAACGTGCTGAGAATTCGCGTGGAAAGTATGCAGAGTTTGCCGGATGACTATATCAACCAAACCTCTGACTATGTGAACATTGCCGCATTCAAGTCCTTTGCACAGGTGAGATCATTGCTCATTTTGATAAGATCACAAACTTTGAAAATGTAGGCTGACCAGCCGGTCGTTTTCAGTGAATCCGTTATAAGTCTTCCAACGGAACCCGTAGAGAACCGTGGGAAGTCGTGGATGTTAACCGATGGTATAATGCCAGGAGAGGCTCTCATCCCCGGAAGGTAACTAAATGAACATACAGATCCTCAATTCATCAATTTAGTGAGGGCATATCGGCTGAAAAGAAGTACCTCGAGGAAGATGGGGAACTCCAGGAGGATAACGATATTGAGCACAGGTACCAGTCCGAGCACAATAAGCCCAAACTCCTATGGAGCCAAGAATGGCGAGCTTTCCTCGACTTTGACTCATTACAGCGGTATGCATGCTATTATTTTCCTAACACAAGCACTTACCCGAACAGAATGAAAGAACAGATTTCGTCGTCACCACTTTTGCCGATTGAAGTGCTACGTTTGCCTACTGCAGAAAACCCCAAAGTCAAGAAGGTACATTTGGGAATCGGTCAAATTTAATCTTGTTTGCATTTTAGGAAAATGACTATGCGATAACGTTTCACGGCGTGGCCTTTGTGGATCTGTTCAAGTTACTTCAGCCAGGCGGTGAGTATGAACATGATCAGAAAATGTATGGAATTCGATTTAAGAAATTCTTGCTCATTTTTAAGAAAAAATAAGATAGTTTAAAAATTCTTCCCTACTTTCGAGGTTCAAAACCACAAGGCACATACAATGCAGTAGGTTGCCAAACTCATGCAATCCTACGATTTTTACAAGTAACTCCC